AATATAAGAGCTTGTGTTATCGAGGTGCTGCTACATCACTGGCTTTGAAGATGAAATGAAATCATGAGCCAGAGTCCAGGCACCTCTCAAAGATGGAAAGGAAAAAGTTTCCCATAGAGCTTCCAGAGGGAACATAGCCTTGCTTCCACAGTGGAATTCTGGATTTCTGACACTCAGAAATGCAAGATTACAAATTTGGGTCATTTTTGCAGCTTCATTTAGGGCACCAGTAGGAAACTAATAAGATGGTTTACCATAGGAATATGTTAGAATTTATCCATTTTCCCTGTGCTGGGCATTTAGGTTGTGGCTAACATGACTGTGATCACTTCCTTATCTATCCTGGTGACCAAGAGTTTTTCTGGGATACATACCTAAGAAAGGAATTAGGATGTTACAGAGAAGCACATCTTCAGTCATCTGGACCAAGAGTAGTATTTCAAGTGTACCTTCAGCAGTGTACAAGAGCCCACACTTTTTACTGTTATGTCTTTGGAGCTGGGCATGGTGGTGTATATATACCTGTAATCCCAACACTTAGGAGGCTGAGGAAGGAGGATCATTGTGAGTTCAAGCCAGCCTGAGCTACAGTCAGGTGACTTCAGTAGGGGGAGTCTTTGGAGAAAGGTGACTATGAGAGAAATACATTAAATATGTATGAAAATATCACAATGAAACTGATTATTTTGTTTAATTAAAATATGCTAATATAAGGAAACATTTTCCAAAAAATATCTTTGATACCAACTGAAATAATGTGTCCTTTATTTTATGAAGGGGTACTCAAAATTTCCTTCAGGTGAAAACATACTTGGAAAGTAATTATACTTTTTCCATAGTAGATGGCATTGCTTTGTTTCTATTCTTTCTCTCTGTTTTTCTTTTATTGTTTGGTTTTTTAGACAGGATCTCAATGTGTAGCATTGGCTAGTTTGTAACTCACAGAGATCCACCTGCCTCTTGAGTGCTGGGATTATAGGTGTGTGTCATCACACCTGGCTTTATTTTCTTTTGATCAACTAAAATTTTCTACAAATTTTTACAGCAAAAATGTAACATATACAATATAATATGCAGTATAAATATAATGTAATTGCTATAATTCAGGTTTTAAGCATGGTATAAAACAACAATTTTCTTCTGATAAAAACATTTTCATAGGAATTTGACAAGTACTAGTTATATAATAGGTTTCAGTTTTTGGCCCTTCATGCAAACCCAATTGGTTTTTTTTATTAGTAGTCAAGCAATACAGAGACTGTTTTGTTAATGTTGTGTTTGTGAATGTGACTGTTCCTATAAGTTAAGAAATTTGCAAAATGACATATTACATGTTACTGCAATATTTATTGAGCACAGTGTATTGAATTCTGTGAGAGGTAAACACTTTATATATGCCATTTATTGACACTTAGAAACCATTGTTAGCTTTTTTTAAAGGCAAATTTGTAGAGTACACTGTAAGGGTACAATGGTCTAGGCAGTAATGGAAAAACAACCTACTCCTTTTTTCAATAGATGAAGAAAATGAGGCATGGAGAAGTAATGGGCCCAACAATCTAGGTAGTTTGCCCTTAGCCTCTGTTTCAAGGAGCATCCCTAGAATTAGAAGACAGTAGATTCACTGCAACATTATGTCCACTTCTTAGATGAAACTGTGTCAGTTCATTTTCTTGTTCTGTGACCACCTGATGAGAAGCAATTTAAGGAAGAGGTTTATTTAGTTTATGATTTGAAGGGATACAGTCCACCAGGGTGGAGAAAGCCTGGAGGGGTGGCTTAGTGGCACTGGATTATGGGACAGCATCCTGAGAGATGAGAAGCTGCACCAGGCCACAAACCTCAAGGACCATGCCCAAGGAGAGCTGGGCTCCAATCCCTTTGGGGTCTACAACCTCTCAAAATAGCATCATCTGGGGACCAAGAGACATGAATCTGTGGGTGACATTTCACATTCAAACCATGACACTCTTCATCATTTTATTTGATATAGTTTGTGTTTTTGTGGTGCTCTGGCTCAATCTGAGGGCCTTATATATTCTGGGAAAATGAGCTGTATGTGTCACTGAGCTGTATCTAACCTTGATTTATGCTTTGTTTCTTCTTTTTCTCCTCCTCCCAATTTTCCCCTCCCTCCTCTCCCTCACCCCTTCCTCCTCTTCTTCCTTTTTAGTATGTTTGTGTATGTGTGGTGTGTTTGAATTTGTTTGGGTGTATACATGCATTCATGTAGGTATGCATATGTGTATATGTATGTGGGTGTGGAAGCCATCATTGAGTATCATCTTATATTGCTTCCTACCTTAATACTTTTAAATAATGTTTTTATTAATTGTTTGGGAATTTAATATATTTTGATCATATTTACCTCCTCTCCCAATTTCTCCCACCTACCTACTCACCCAGCTTCATGTTTTCTTTCTCTCCCTCCCTTTTTCCTCTCTCCCCCCTTCCCACTTTCTCTCTTTTAAACCCACAGAGTTCAGGGTGTGCTGGCCAACTGGTCTCGGATGTGGGGCCTGTTCTGGAGGTGGTTGATATATCAGGGGTCCTACCATTAAAGAAAACTGACTCCCTCTCCCAGAGGCCATCACATTTCATCAGCTGCTCAGCCTGGATAGGACTTCATATACTCCTTCAAGCTGAATTTTGTCTGCCTTTAGCTTGCACAGGTCTTGCACATGTTGTCAAAATCTCTATGAGTTCATATGTGCATCTGTCCTGGTTTGTCTAGAAAAAGTTTCCTTGAAGAGACCACCACCTCTGGCTCCTACAGTTTCTGCCTCTGGTCCATGAAGATCCCTGAATCTCGAGGGGAGGGATAGATATGCCATTTAGTGCTGAAGACTCTAAATCTCTTACTCTGTGTGTTGGCCAGTTTCCACTGTAGGTTTTGAGATGCTGTCTCTCACTGAGCCTGATGCTCATTGGTGTACCAGGCTGGCCAGCCAGTGAGCTCCAGGTATTAGCTGTCTGTCCCACCTGATGACTGGGATTGACTGATGGTTGTTTACATTCTTAGAGTTTTTCTATGTGTCCCCCTTTGCACCTCTTCCTTTGCTCTACTTGTATCTAGTCTTAGGTAACTAGGTAAACCTGTATGACTAGAATCACATGCAGCTCTTACTTTGAGCTCCAAGTACCTATTGATTCACTGCAGGTTCATGATTTGGTTATTCAGAAGATGAGAAGACTATGATATGGCCTTCATCTGACAGAGCTTTGTAGTCTAGGACAGACACTGTCAGAATTTACTTACTAATTTGCTGTTTCCCTCAGTCATTTGCTATCTAGCAAATGTTTCGAATGATTTTTTTTAGACCACACGTTCCTTTACATTTACAAGTTGATCTTAATTTTGCATATTTTGATCCTGTTTGGGTCTGTTTTGTCAACAATTCCAGATTAAGCGTCACTGTCAGAATTTATTGCCATGAAATTTACTCTCTATTTTAGGTCATTAAGACTGTTGCCAGAGCTGGAGGTGGTGGTGCAGGCCTTTGATGAGTTCCAGGACAGCTGGGGCTATGTAAAGAGAGAGACCTTGTCTCAAAAAAACCAAACACATGCGTATTTCCAGGAAGGAATTTATTCAATAATTCTCTTGAAAATAGTGCTATTGCTCTGACTTGTCTTCATGGTGTTAGTCTTACTAAAAATGAGTCCAATACAGTTGTTGACAGCATTGGTTTGATAGCCATGCTATCTAGATTTTCAGCTATCTCTGATGTAGAATTGAAAAGGAACCTGTACTCGTGCACTCTGAGAAACTATTGCCTCATATAATTGAAGCCTGGTGTATTGTTACCTGTTGCTGGAGATATCTGACTTTCTACTCCAAGTTAGCCTTCAAGACCCTCCTGTCTCAGCCTTAGGATGTGTGCCATAGTGCCCATTTCAAGACTTGGTGTTTTCAACCATTTATCTCACAGTGTCTGTGGGTCAGCACTTTGAGTATAGTCCAAGTGGGAACATTATCAGGGTGGGTTATGGGCAGTAGTCAGGGTAGGCTGCCGTCATCATCGGGTAAAACAAGGGAAGGATCCAGGTTTGTTCTGATGACTGATAGAAGGTTCTGTTTCTTGTGAGTTGTTAAACTCATGGGACAGTTCCTTGCTAGTGTTGATACCTTAGTTTTTTACAGAAGCTGCTTTCATTCTCTGCCAGGTGGTCCTTTCCATGGGGTAATAGGGCATATGGTGGCAAGCAAATGGAGAGACAGAGAGGAAATAACTTTGGTCACTTTTGCTGTGTTCTTTTAATTAGAGGCAAGAAACTAGATCCAGCTAAATCCTCAAGGGAGGAAAATGATCAATAGCAGGAGACAGAGATAATAGAGAGTTAGTTTAGAAGTATCTTCATTGCCAGGCAGTGGTGGCGCACACCTTTACTCCCAGCATATGAAGGCAGAGTCAGGTGGATCTCTGTGCGTTAGAGGCCAGCCTGGGCTACAGAGTGAGTTCCAGGACAGCCAGGGCTACACAGAGAAACCTTGTCTCGACAAACCAAAAAGCAAACAAACAAATAAGCTTCTTCATTTGGTTTGGTTATCATTTAGGGAGTCTAGATTTTCCACGTTTTTGTAAGTGGGACATGTGTGTATTCTTAGACTAATTTCAGAGTTCTGAAGGACTATACTGGCAATATCATTTTATTTTGTGCTCTTCCCTTAAATTTAGAGTGAGGTAATGAAAATTCCTCTCTATAGTATTATCTAATAATCTCATTTAAAGTGTAAATTTATGGATATATATATAGGCTGGCTTCGAACTCACTATATAGGTGTGGATGGCCTTGACCTTCTGATTCTCTGCCTCTACCTTCCAAGTTCAGGGATTATGGGTGTGTACCATCACTCCCTTAGTTAAACTTTATTTTTTGTTGTGCTAAAGTATACATGTTTGCTTTCTTAAACATTTTGAATAAACAGTTCAATATTGTTAAGTGTGTTTGCTAATTAACTTTTTACCTCAAACTGAATCTTTTTTCCCCCTTCTCAGAATTGTAAAACCAGTAAGAGCAAGTGCCTATTGAAAGAAACTCACTCTTGGCTAAGAAGAGAAGTAGGAACTAGGTTGGTATTGCTTATACTTAGGAATCCTGAGAGGGGATGGCTAGAAATTGATTTAGAAATTTAAATTTTTTAAAGTTACATTTATTTGTGAGTGTGCCACTGCCCATGTGTGACCGTCAGAGGACAACTTAGGAGTCAGTTTTCTCCTTCCACCACATGAGGCCTGGGTCTTGAACTCAAATCGTTAGGCCTGGCTGTCACTATAGAGCCATCTTGCTGGCCCAAAAGTCAAACCTCCAAGTTTTTTTTACTTTCCTTTTTTGAGGCCAGAAGAGGGCATCAGATCCCCTGGAGATGGAATTACAGATAATTATTAGCTGCCATTTGGGTGCTAGGAAATGAAAACACGTGCGCGCGCACGCACACGTATACACACACACACACACACTAAACAAATTTAAAAAAATCAAACCACATATGAGAGAAATTGTCTTTCAGAGTCTGGACAGATTCTAATATAGCCCAGGTTAGCCTTGAACTCGATATGTAGCTGAGGGTAGCCCTTGTCTGGTTTCCTTAGTGTTGAGTGATTCTGACAGTATATGGCCAGTGAAGGCTAAAATGTCTGCTTTCCGGCCCTTTACTGAAAATTTGCCTACTGTTATGAAGAATCATTTCATTGCTTTTTGACTTAACTTCCTTGTTCTTTTCTTTTTCTCTCTTTTTTTTTTTTTTTTTTTTTTTTTAACAGGTGGTTGTGAGCCACCATGTGGTTGCTGGGAACTGAACTCATGACCTTTGGAAGAGCAGTCTCTTTCTGTGTAGCTTTGCACCTGTCTTGGATCTTGCTCTGCAGACCAGGCTGGCCTCGAACTCACAGAGATCCGCCTGGCTCTGCCTCCAGAGTGCTGGGATTAAAGGCGTGCGCCACCACCGCCTGGCTCAGCCTGCTTTCTTATAGAACCCAGGACCACCAGCCAAGGGATAGTACCACCCACAATGGACTGGGCCCTCCCCCATCAATCATTGATCAAGAAAATGTCTTACAGGCTTGCCCTACAGCTGGGTCTCATGGAGGCATTTTCTCAATTGAGTCTCCCTCCTCTTTGATGACTCTGGCTTGTGTCAGGTTGACATAAAACTAGCCAATACACTGAGGATGACATCCAAGGTTGTTTTCTGGCTTCCACGCATGCAACATGTTAAACATCACTCTGATGTTTTTCTCTTTTATTCATGGAGTAAGTTATAGTTCCATCTTCATTAGGCTGTGTGCTTTTTTATTTTCTACGGGTATATTATTCTTTTACTGTTTTTCTTTTTTTAAAAAACAGTATCATATAGTGTTTTGTCACAGCCTTTTTCTGCCTACATAAAGAATCCCTATGCATTTGAAGTACATCTTGTAAGATTTAGGTGAGATTTCTTATCAGGTAAAGGTGCTAGCTGCCACTCCTGACGACTTGAGTTCAGTCACTAGAACCCACATGGTAAAAGAACAGAACTCACTCTTGCAAGTTATCCTCTGACTTCCACTCGAGCATGTGCCAACACACACACACACACACACACACACACACACACACACACACACACAGGCATGCATGTGATGTAAATGAATAAATGAATGTAATAAGATATTAAATGTTATTAGCTTTGATGATATTAAATTATATTCTAAACCTATTAAACTGTAAGCCATTGCCAGGTCTGGTAGGGCATGCCTGTGATACAGTTAATTGGGAGGCTGAGCAGGAGAACCACAAGTTCAAAGCCATCTTGGGTTACAGAGTGAGTTCAAGACCAGTCAAGTTCAAGATCATGTATGTTACTCAGTTTTTCGAATGTAGTTGTAGGGGGTCCCCTACCCTTCTGAGGAGGCAATTAATGTATATATTAATTCATCAATAAGCTTCTTGAGGCTGGAATGTTACTTGTGTTAATTAGTTCTGCTGCTGCTTTTTTCTTTTGTTTTAGATTAAATGGAAGCCACCCTTGGGAGCTAGATGCCTGTGTAGCTGTTTTACCACATCAGTGTTTGGCAATGAGTGGGGGAGGAGAGCAGCCAGACATCCTCAGTGTTGGAATCTTGGTCAAAGAAAGATGGAAAGTGGTGAGTGTAGAGAATGGAGACAGGAAAGAGGTGGTGGGGGCGGGGGGCGGGGGCGGGGAAGGGGGTGGGGGGGCTGGACGGTAATTTTCGGTATTCTGATAAAAGTAGCATTTTTAAAGAACTAATACCTGCGTTTCTTATTTGCCTAATGCAGGTGTTTTCACTTTTATTCCTATGATTAAGTTTTATTTATGCTCTAATTCTTAGGCCTGCTTCATAAGTTCCAAGTTCTCCTGACCTCCTGTAGCTAATATCATAAGTAAGTGTTTGAGGAAGAACAGATTAAGAAGAATGTGACAGTACAGTGAAGTGCCTTTTCTTTCCTCATCTACAACACTAAGAAAACTTGTGGTGGATGGTGGTGGTCACACCTGTAGTCTCAGCCAGGCGGGTCTCTGTGAGCTCCAGGGCAGCCAGGACTACCCAGAGAAACCCTGTCTTTAAAAAAAAAAAAGAAGCCGGGCGGTGGTGGCGCACGCCTTTAATCCCAGCACTCGGGAGGCAGAGCCAGGCGGATCTCTGTGAGTTCGAGGCCAGCCTGGACTACCAAGTGAGTTCCAGGAAAGGCGCAAAGCTACACAGAGAAACCCTGTCTCAAAAAACCAAAAAAAAAAAAAAAAAAAAAAAAGAAAGAAAAAAGAAAACTTGTAAGTGTACATAAAATAGACAGATGTGATAAATCGCAGCATACTTAGACTCAGCCCATGGTTTCTGGTTAGGATGTTTAACCTTGTTTCTCCTCCTAGAATATTTTGAATAGTTCTTACATCATTATGTCTCTGTAAAGGATAAGGACTTATTTTTAAAAAGTAATCACCTACAGAAGTTTTTGCTTTTGTTTTCTGATACTAGCAATTGAACCAAGGCTTTGCGTATTCTAGAGCCGTACCCTTAGAATTTTTTTTTTTAATGAATGCTTTTGTGAACTTTCACTAATAGGCCTATGATGTGTTATTTTATATCTTTTTATGATATAAGTAGACATTGGTGAGCATTGCCTAGGTCTGTTAATTCATTAGAGATTACAGATTGGTCATATTCAGTTATTCTTTCATTTATTAACAAGTATATCTCTAAAGACTTACTATCGTTCAGTATTTGATTATTTGGAGATACAGTTTAATTAAGAAAGCAAAGTAAATGATTATTTTTTCCCTTAGTTTCCTAGCATCCTCCAAGTGACCACTGAGGTTTTTCTTTTTAGTGTGGGACACTGAAGTGTGAGGACTTTGGGTGCAGTGTAGTTGGTGGAAAAAAAGTGGTGAGGAATGGTAAACAAGATCTGCCTTGTATGGTTCCCTTGTCCTGACAATTACTGCTACTATATTTATGGAACTTATTCCCCACATTTGGGAGGAGGATGGCATTTTTGTAAGGATTCTTAATTGTTTTTTGAGACAGGATTTTACTGTGTAGCCCTGACTGTCCTGGAACTCGCTCTGTAGACCAGACTTGTGAGGTTCTTTTTACCTCAGAACTAATGAGGATATTGTAGGGCTTTGTCAAGATTAAACAAATCACTGTTCTACTGTTGTTCAAATGACATTAATAGGAGTAGACTAAGGACCCAAGATAGATTTTTTTTTTAAATTCTGACATTTATTTGAAGTTCTTTTGTGTCATCAAATACTAAGCCATCAATCAAAATAATAAAGACATACCATTAGTACTTATTATGATTTTTTGTTTGTTTGCTTTGAAGCAGAGTCTTATTTTGACCAGTTTGTCCTGAATACCTGGACTTAGGTATCCTCTCAGCTTCCTCTTTGAGAGCAGCTTCCTTTTTGGTTTTTTGAGACAGGCTTTCTCTGTGTAGCCCTGGCTGTCCTGGAACTTGATCTGTAGACCAGGCGGGCCTCTCACTCACAGAAATCTGCCTGCCTCTGCCTCTGGAGTGCTGGGAATAAAGGCTTTTAGTTGTTAAACTTACATTAGATTTTATTTAGTGGACAACATATAAAGAATCACAAGTACCAGCAGAGCCCTACAAAGAGCAGCACCCTTCACTGTCTAGCTCACCCCATAGTTCCTTCTCATCACCAAACAAATTTAAAATGACTATGGCTTAAACATGCAAAACAAACATCGTAATTAAGCTGTAATTTATAGTTAGGAATTTAAGCACTACATGAAGAAATGGCTGATTCCCCAGGGGAGACCTTGCCTTAGGGGAGGTGGGAATGGGGGGTGAATTAGGGGGAGGGATGGGGGGTGAGAGGAGGGAGGACGGGGGTGGGTTGGGGATCTGTGGCTGATATGTGAAATTAAGTTAATTATAAAATAAAAATACTAAATAAAAAAATAAAGGATCTGGAAACCACAAGGGAAAAAAAGAAATAGGTTGTGGCCTCCCTTTGAAGACACCTCCTTCTGTGGTGAGGCTGGACATCAGCGGTGGGAAGTTAGCAGCATGAAGCTGGATGTGTGTGCACTCCTGGAACCCGGCACTTAGAGGTGCAGGCAGGAACATCAAGAGTTCAGGGTTACTGTTGAGGCCAACCTGGATGAAACCCCAGTTTAAGAAAACAGAAAACCTCCCAGCATGGTGTGGGATACCTTTTTGGCCAGCGTGGTCTACATAGTAAGTTCCAGAACAGCCAGGGATACATAATAGAGACCTTGTTTCCAAAACAACAACAAAAAGTTACTCAACATGACTTAAAAGTCAGTGATAAGCCAAGGTATGGCCTGATAAAATTACTAATTGAAAAAGTAAACAGATAATTTTCATAGAAATTCAGATGAGAAATTGGCCTAAAGGTCTGGGCATGAGGTTGAGTTGTGTAGTGCACAAGGCTGCATGTGCTCCCTGCATCACAGGAGGAGAAGGAAGGAGGGCATGTAGTTGAGTTGTGTAGTGCACAAGGCTGCATGTGCTCCCTGCATCACAGGAGGAGAAGGAAGGAGGGCATGTAGTTGAGTTGTGTAGTGCACAAGGCTGCATGTGCTCCCTGCATCACAGGAGGAGAAGGAAGGAGGAGTAGAGCATAGATACAGTCATCACTGCAAATGGCCAGTGGGGAAGAAAGTAGGATGGGACAAGAGCATGGGCCTCTTGGAAGGTTTAGGATTTTGGGCCTCATGCTTTTAGTAATAACTCCCTACATTACCTCACATTACGTTCTACATGTTTGCTTATATTATAAGACGACATGGCTTCAGGAAGTGGAAAACTGGTTTCTTGCTGCATCTTGCGTAAAGTGTATCACCCACCCCAGATTTTCAGAGCCCTTTACAGGTCTAATTGTGACAAGATTTTAGAACCTGTTTATGATACTCAAATATTCTGATGTTCTCCAATTAAGTTAGCGTTTAAGGTGTTTGATGAAAGCGTATTATTTGAAGTGTAGATGTGTGGCAGTGTTTGCTCTCTGAGATAGTGTGGAACCCTTCTTCACTTGTTGTGTAGATCCTCCTAGTCCTGCCTCAGAGAGAAGAGCGAAAGGGTCGATGCTGACTGCTTATCCCATTCTTCAGCCTCCCTCTTTACCCATAGACAAGCTTGGTTCTATATAAGATTTTAAATGGCAAAAAGATTTCTTGATTAAAAAGTCTGCAAATGAAATTAGATTAAAACTAATCTGGCTATTGAAGGGTATTTGTAGGAATCATTTCTTTCAGATACTGTGTTTTTAATGACAATTTTGATGCTAGCTACAGACCTTTAATAATTGTTTGTAACAGAAATAATTTCATTCCTTTCTGTAGACAAATCTGTAGAAAATGTTGTTGCTATCATCTCCCGCATTTGTTTTCTTCTTGCTGTATAAATGATTTAACAATATTGAAATCATTTATCATAAAGTAGGAATAGTAAAATTATATGTTTTCTAAGTGTAAAAGGTGAATTGGCTTCCAGTTAAAATCTTGGAATAATTTTGAGTGTGTTCTTGTTTTGTTTTCTGTGCAGTTAAGAAAGATTGGGGGTGGGGGCTTTGGAGAAATTTACGATGCCTTGGACATGCTCACCAGGGAAAATGTGGCACTGAAGGTGGAGTCGGCTCAGCAGCCAAAGCAAGTTCTGAAGATGGAGGTCGCTGTGCTGAAGAAACTGCAAGGTAAGCTGCTCCAAATGACTGTAGTGAAGTTTTGTCTGGTAGTTTATGATTGCTTTAATCTTCCCTGGTTAAGTTCTCTATACTAACGGACTGCTCTGGTGTCAGCTAGGTATGAACATGCTGAGTATGTTTGTGTTGAAAGCTCTATTATACAATAGAAATATGTGATTGCTAGAGAAATTGGGAATTCCTTTTCACGGTAAGGATGAGAGATAATTAGAATCACCTACTACTGCTTTAGAAAGTGTTGTCCTAAATCCACTATGGTAACATTTGAATATTCCTTTGAGCCAATCATAAAAACCTCTGAGACATTTCTGCACTTGCCTTTGTATGTTAAACATTCTTGAATCACATCATGGAAGCTATCTTCAAGTCATACTGCAGGATGGGTTAAAAATGATAAGTAAGGCTTTGTGTGTTCCCACTAACTTTAGTTTCAGAGCTTAGCTCATCATTTTTGAAGTTCATCTTACTACTACTCAAGTACGTATACTTTTACTACAATGACAAATCATTTTTTTCTGGTGCCATTCTGATAGTCATGCAAAACCCTGAATGTGTTGATAGTGTCTCGTCATCTCTATTTAATGTGGTACACTGGTATTACTGATATTAAAGATACATAAGGTTGATGACCATTGTTCTTTGTTCTAAGATTTCCGGTTGTCCAAATTCCTCTACCAGTTGTTTAATTGGATTGTAATGTAATGCTAAATAAAATTATAAAATTTTCAAAGTTGATTTTAGCTCCGATTTAGTTTTCCCATGGCACAGTACATCAGGAAGATAGTAGACCACTCAGCCCCCAGTGCCCCTGCTAAACAACAAAGAATCAGAAAAGGAAAAATAGAGAAAAGGATGGCTCTTTTGTCGTCGTGTTGGGTGTGCCCCCCCTCCCCTGTCCCCTTTTCTCCCCTGGTTTTTCTCAACTCAGTGTGGAAGCCACAGATAAGTGCTGCTGGGATTGCCTCCTCCAGGGCTGCGCAGAGTCTGGGGGATCTCCTCTAACACTGGCAGAGCCCGTGGGGCATAGGTGATGAGCAGAGCTCGGCCTGGTCAGTGCCGCTTCACCGGTCTCTCTCTCCTCGGTCCCAGGCCGTTGTCCTGTAAGACAGGAGACACTACTGCAGCTCTTTCAGGACTTCTCCTGGCTACTTTGGCCTTGATTTACTTAGGATTCCATGTGATCCTAACTTAAAGATAGGGCTTAAAGATAAGTTTAATACCTTTTATGGGTAAAACTGTTGCTGGAGTTCATTTTATGAGAAACTGATGGACATTTGTGCTCTTTTCAGTTTATCTTTTTTTTTTTTGAGACAGGGTTTCTCAGTGTAGTTTTGGTGCCTGTCCTGGATGTCACTCTGTGGACCAGGCTGGCCTCGAACTCACAGAGATCCGCCTGGCTCTGCCTCCCGAGTGCTGGGATTAAAGGCATGCGCCATCACCGCCCTGTTCAGTTTATCATTTAAAAGTTACTGTCTAAATGTTTTTCTTGTCTTCTTATACCTATATGAACCCTATTCCTCAGAACACCTTACTTTCCACAGATGGATAGCTTTTTAATCTTCTGGTCTGTATTTCAGTGAGGTTGTCCTGACCCTCTTCTTTTGCCTCCTGCACACTTCGTTCTCACAACTTCTTTGTTGAGAATGCTCAGCATCTGGACCTTTGGAGACTTTTTTGTGGTGCTGTGCTGTTCTTACTTTGCTGGTGGCAGGGAGTGACTCCAGTGTATTAGACAAGTAGAGGCTAGCCTCTTAGGTGATTAGTTAGTCTCCTGTATCCCAGGCTGACCTTACCTATTGTAGCCAAGGATAGCCTAGAACTTCTGATCCTCCTGTTTCCTGTCTCCTAAGTGATGGGATTACAGATGAATGCTGCTATACCTGGCTGACCATGGCAAAAAAAAAAAAAAAAAAAAAGAAGTTTCTCTGGCTAGAGCTGACAGCAGCCCTAATCTGTAGGTGTAAACATAGTTGCTTAGAGGGCAACTTGACTAGCACACTGTTTAGCAAAACAACAAGAGTAGCTTCCCAACTAAGGCTTATGACCTCCATAGCCACAGGCTGGGACCCAGTTTATAGTTCCAGATGTGAATTCCTTCCTGTGGAGTAGACATTAAATCCAATCTAAAGTTTTGTTATGTAACACAGTTCTTAAGAAAATAATTATAACAAACTTGCCACTGTTTGATCACTGGTCTCAGCCTGCCTGGCCAGTCGGTGTTATTGCCCACGGGGTCCATAGCTGGGTAAGACTGTTGATGACAACTCTCCTAGCAGCCTGCCTAACTCCTTCTGGGACTGTGAGGGCTAGCTAGCAGGGAGGAAGCTTTCCAGCCCAGTGCTGGCTTGATTTCCCTATGTCTTGTGCCCAAAGCTAATGACGTCTTCAACAATAAGGGCTTGCCATCTAGTTCTACTGGGCAGCTACCAGTAGTGGCAATAACTTGTACTGCTTTGGGGGTTTTAGGAGCCTCTTTGACCAGCAACTTGTCAGGCGGTAGCTCATCCCTGGCACTGGGACTTTTATTTAATAATCATGGTTTGGGGGAGCATCTTTATCCCCTCAAAACAGGAGAGGTTCCTCCATTTAAATTCCTTAACATTTAAAAAAGTATTTTTTTGGTGTGTGTGTGTGTGTGTATGTTTGAGAGAAAGAGGGGTGAGAGAGAGAGAGAGAGAGAGAGAGAGAGAGAGAGAGAGAGAGAGACAGAGAGAGAGAGAGAGACAGAGAGAGAGACAAAGAGAGAGAGAGAGACAGAGAGAGAGAGAGACAGAGAGAGAGAATATTTGCATGTGTGTGTTAGTACTCACAGCGGACAGAAGAGGTATTGGATCCCTAGAACTGGAGTTAGAGGTAGTTGTAAGCCACCTTATGTGGCTCTGGGGACTGAATTCTAGTCTGATGCAAGAGCAGCTCTCAACTCTTGTAAGCCTCATTAAGTTGTGGTGTTTGTTTGCTTGTTTGTTTTTGTTTTTGAGGCAGAGTTTCTCTGTGTAGCCCTGGCTGTCCTGAAACTCGCTCTGTAGACTAGACTAGCCTTGAACTCATAGAGATCCTGCCTCTGTCTGCAGAGTGCTGGGTTTAAAGTTGTGTCCCACCACTGCCTGGTGAAAAGCGTTGGTGTTCTTTGAAGGTCTGATAAAGTTTACCAGTAAAAACAGCTAGACCTTGTCTTTTTTTTTTTTTTCAGTTGGGAGATTATCATTTCAGTCTCACTGTTTGTTATATCTGTTTAAATTGTCTCATTTTTTACTTAATTTGGCATATCATATGTATCCAGAAATTCATTTTAGACTTTCCAATTTATTGACATTATGCTTCCAAGGGAAGAGGTAGTGATTTTCTGAATCTCATTGATATCTGTTGCAATAGCTCATTTTTCATCTCCAAGTGTATTATTTACACCTTTATTTGGTTAGTTTGGCTAAGACTTTGACAATCTTGTTTATTTTTTCAGTGAACAAACTCTTTGCTTCATTGAGTCTTTGTATTTTGTCTGTTTCAATTTCATTAATTTCTTCCCTGCTTATAATGATGTCTTTTTTGTCTACTTATTTGAGATTTGATGTGTTCTTTGATTTCCAGGTCCCCTAGGTATATCATTATTTATTTGAACTCTCTGATTTCATAATCTAATCCTTATAGGATTACTTTTAGGAATCATTGTATATAGGATTCATTGTATCCCACAGTTTTGTACATTATAGGGTTCATTGTATCCCACAGTTTTGGTGTGTTGTGTTTTCATTTTTATTTGATTTTGGGAATTTTTAATTCCTTTTTGATGTCTTCAAAGGCCCGTTCATCATTCAATAGTGTGTTGTTTAATCTCCATGAGTTTGTTTCAGGGGTTTTCTTGTTTACATGTAGTCTTACTCCGTTGCGTATGATACAAAGAATTATTTTAGGGTTTTTTTTTTTTTTTTTTTTTTTTTTTTTGTATTTGCTGAGACTTGCTTTGTGCCCTGTTTTAGAGAAAATACTATGGGCTTCTGGGAAGAACATGTGTTCTGTAGCATGTGGATAGAGTGTTTCATAGAGGTTACTTGTTCTCCAATGTCATTTAATTCATGGATTTCTCTGTTAGTCTGTGGGGAAAACATGGCAGTTGGTAAGAGTGGGGTATTCAGGTCACCCACTGCTCTTGTGCTCGGGTTAATCTGTAGCTTTGCATCCAATATTGTTTTATGAAGTTGAATCCACTGTATTCAGGGCATTTGCGTCAGGAGTGTATGTCTTCTTAACGGGCTGTCCCCTGATCTTCATCTTTCCTCACTAAGTTAGGTTTGAAGTCCATTTTGTTAGCTATTAGAAGAATAACACCTGCCTGTTTCCAAGTCCATTTGATTGAAATTTCTTTTTCCATTCTTTACCCTAAGGTAGTGTCTGTCTGTTGTGTGAGATGTGTTTCTTGGAGGCAGCAAATACATGGCTCCTGCCTTTGATCCAGTTTTCTTGTCTGTGTCTTGATTGGGGATACTCAGAGTTACTATTGGAAGGTGTGTATTGATGGCTCTCATTTTGTTGATTTCTGCAGTGATCTTTTCTTATGTAACTACTATCCTAGTGTTGTTTTATTTCATAGATGGATTTGTTTTTCCTTTTCAGTTTGAAGAATTCTTCAAATATTTTCTGTAGATCTGGCTTAGTGTCATAAATTCCTTTAGTCTACTTTTATCATGGAAACTTTATTTCTCCTTCAGTTACAACAAATATCTTTATTGGGTGTAATAGTCTGGATTGGCAGTAGTTGTCTTTCAAAACTTGAAATAGGGCCAATGAGATGGATCAGTGGATAAAGACATTTACTAGCTTGATGACCTGAGTTCAATACCAGAGTCCCACATAATGAAAGAAGAGAAAACTGACTTCTGCAAGTTGTCCCCTGACCGCCACACACATGTCCTGGTGCTCACACACATTAAATAAATAAATGCATTTTGTTTGTTTTGTTTTTCAAGACAGGGTTTCTCTGTGTAGTTTTGGTGCTT